GACGTCTCCAGAAGGCTCTCGGACTGCGAGAGGGCATAGGCCAGGCTGAGGGACTTCACAATCTCACGCACCAGGCCTCTAGTAGATATATGAAAAGATGCTCAACCTCATTAATGATTAGAGAAATGTAAATTAAAAGCACAATGAGAATCGCCTCACACCTGTTAGAATGGCTACAATCAATGAATCAACAAACAACAAGGATGTGGAGAAAAGGGGACCTTCATGCACTATTAGTGGGAATATAGATTGGTGCAGCACTGTGGAAAGCAGTATGATATTACCTGAAAATATTAAAAATGGAATTGCCTTATGACCCAGCAATTCTACTTCTGGGAATATATCCAAAGAAACCCGAAACTCTAATTCAAAAGAATATACGCACCCCGATGTTCATTGAAGCATTATTTATAATAGTCCAAGTGTCCATCAATAGATGAGTGAATAAAAAAAGCCATGGTACATTTACACAATAGAATAGTACTTGGTTGTAAGAAGCAAGGAATTCTTACCCTTTGTGACAGCATGGATGGACTTGTAGGGTATTATGCTAAGTGAAACAAGTCAGTCAGAGAAAGACAAGTATGATTTCACTTATATGTGGTATCTAATAAACAAAACAAACTAACAAACAAAACAGAAGCAGACCCATAGATGCAGAGAACAGTCTGACAACTGTCAGAGGGTTAGAGGGTTGGGGGGTGGGTGAAAAAGGAGAAGGGATTAAGCAAAGGAAAAAAAACTAATTGTCATTTCTTTTTATTCTCAAAATTTCATTAAACTAATGATTAGTATTTTCCATGGCTAGACACTGTTTTAAGCCTTGGAAATATAGTGAGCAAAACAGGTAATATTTCTGCCCTAAGGAGCTTACATTTCAATTGCTGGATACAGATAATAAATATAACAAGTAAACAATTGCATAATCAAGATAATTTCAGATAGTGATAAGTACTATAAAAAAAGATTTAAAATGAGAGAGTGACAGGGCAAGGAGGTCTATTTTATTTTTTTCTTTATTGATTAATGTATTACATATGTGTCCTTATCTCCCCATTGCACCCCACCTGTCCAATCATGCCCTCACCCTCACTCCCTACGTTATGCTTATATGCATGCATATAGCTTTTTTGGTTAATCTCTCTCCCTTACCCCCACTCTCCCCTGAGGGGGTCTGCTTTAGATGGACAGGCAGGAAGATCTCTCTTAAGGAGGTGAAACTTACCCTCAATGATCAGAAGACCCAGAAAAGGAGTGTTCTAAGCAGAGAAACAGAAAGGACAAAGGTCCTAAGGACACGAGCTTGCTTGGGCCTGGCACATGAGGTAGAGGAAACCACGAGATGAAGTCACACATAGGATGGAGGTTACGGAGATAGGGACGTTGAACTTTACTCCAAGGGCTCTTAGAAGCCATTAGATAATGTTAAGTCAGAGAACAAAATGATTTACTTTAATTTTGAAAGCTCACACTGGCTGTTGGTTAGATTATAGATTGGGAAGAGTGGAAGCAGGGAGGACATTTAGGGGTCTATTTTACCAGTCCAGGTGAGAGATGACACCTACCTTGGGTAAGGTGGCTACAGCAGAGACAGAGAGAGGCGAGCAGATTCAGTGGAATTCAGTGGAACCCTTAGTGGTTGAGCCAACAGAACCTGCTGGTGGATTGGATGTGGAGCAAGAGAAAATAAGAGGTATCGAACAGGGTTGCTAATTCGATTCACTGAGATGGAAGCCTGAGGAAGGAACCAGTTTTTGGAGGGGAATCAGAGACCTATTTTGCCCAGGCTTGGTTTGAAATGCCTGTGAGACATCCAGGTGGAAACAGCAAGCAAATAGTTGGACAAATGAGAGTTCTTGGAGCATAGATTTAGCATTCCTTTTTGAATTTTTCTTCCCACTGTAGAAGCCCAAAAAAGTCCAAGAATGAGCCTGAGAGGGCAGATTCCCCACTTCCCCGGACCAGCAGGGGTCCCCTCCATGAGGCAGGTGCCCACCATCTAAGGGTTTGGTGTGCCTGTGAGTAGCGGCATGCTTCGGTGCACTTAGCAGAAATGTTTTAAGAGTTGAGAAGGTCAAGCAGGTTGTACGTTGCTATTTGTCATTAACATACATTTCAATTTGCCGAGCGCCTTCTCTTTAATTATGAATGACCTTCAGTTGACTTAGTACATAAAGTTTCTGGTTTCTGCTTCCCGTACTCCATTCTCATCAGCCCTGTCCTGGCTTCTTTAACCAGCCTTTACTCTGTGGACTCTGTGAAGTGAAAAGCTTCAGTCCACCTTTTGGTGTTTGGAGGGGAGAGGGGTGCAGGGAGAGGTCTCTAAGAGAGCTCAGGAAAGAGCTTGCCTCTTTTCTTATTCTGAGAAGTTGGGGAAGAAAACAGTGACAGAGACAGGAAGCCAGGTTGGAAGAAATAACTTCAGTTTTATTTTAATAAAAATCAAAAGCAAGCTGCCCTGGGCTGGGAGCAGGCAGCCCCCGGGGAGGGCAGGGGAGACTGGTTTTCCCTGTAGCTGCACTTCCTGAGAGGAAAAAGGCGGCACAGCGGAACGTAGTATGCTCAGCTACTCTACCCAGCTTGATTTTACATCACCAGAGGTGAAATGGTGAAGGCTCCGAGAGAGGACAGAAAGCCATCCTCCTCATGGACCAGGAAGCGGAGACAGGGCCTTTTACTCTACTAGAAAATGAAAACGTTCACCATTCATTGGCTGGATTTAAATAATTGGATTTTCAGTAAATGGGGCACACTTAAGGCCAACAAATAGATACCAAGCACAATTCTGCCATTCACTAGTTCTGTGATTTTGGGAAACTCACCTGACCTAGGCCTCAAATGTCTCATTTGTGAAGATGAGGATAATAGTACCTACCTTGTGAGATCATTCAGGTAACCGATCAGGACAGGCACTCAGTAAAGCATGCCGGCTGCTATTCCTACTGTAATGGTGGCTATCACTATGACCATGTTAGGATCTAGGTGCTGGGGATATAAAGATAAAAGATACAATTTTACCACCTAAAAGCTTAAGACTCAGTCAAGAGGTAGGAATAATAAACATTAAAATACAATGTAATGCACATGTAGTAGGGTTTCTTATCAGAAGGGTGCCTGTAAGTGGTTACATTTTAGTGAGATTATATATTTATGTAGGCCAGGACAAAAAATAAATCATCTTGGAATTATAGAGCCTTCCATAACCTTATTGGGTGGGGGTCACCTGAGTAGCTCAAATTGTTCACCGAGAAAGGTATCAGGACATGCCTATGATTTTGTTTGTTTGTTTTTGATGTTGTTGTTTTTTGTTGTTATTGTTTTTCTGTGTTTTTTGTCTGTTTTTGTTAACCCTCACCAACAACATTTCCCATTTATTTTTAGGGAGAGTAGAAGGGAGAGGAAGAGACAGAGAGAGAAACACATCAATTGTGTTGCCCTCCGCATGCAGCCTGCAACCTAGGACCCTGACAGGAATCAAACTCAGGCTGAACCTCAGTCCTTGGGCCGATGCTCCATCCACTGAGCCAAACCATCTAGGGCTGTTTTGTATTTTACAAGGAGTTAGTCACCAGGGAGAAATAGAATAATGATGGCTTTAAATCCTCAAAAGAATGAAAGCTAGAACCAGCCCTGGTTTAGCACTGAAAGAGCTGATCACTTTGGAATCTGACACCTGGAGCCCAGACTGGCAGCCCCTGAGGGACCTTGGATCAGGGTGACATGGGGACAGACTGGAAAGACTCCACTCTTGACCTTGCACTGACCGCACTGGGCGGGCTCCCCATGGGTACAGTGCTTTATCTGTTTACATCTTCTGCTAAGCAGCCTCGCTGCCTTTTCCCTGAGCCACCTCACACAGCTGGCCAGTGCAGAGGCAACCTGTTATTGTGGAAGGAACCGGGATGCCTCTTACACAGTTTGGGGTACAACTGTCGTGCCTCCCAGTTCATCTCCCGAGTGCACCTGTTTGGATCCCCACAGACTATGACTGAAAACCCTAAGGTCCAGACTGTCCTCCCTCCAACTTCTCTGTAACCCTATGTCCTTGCTGCTTCATCTGCTGAGGTGACTGGGAATTTGGCCAGGAGCACTTCCTGTTGGAGAGCTCTGGGGTGGGGGTGGACCATCCGCAGAAAAACATGCCAAGCATCTTCCAGGAATCAGAGACCCATGGCCAATTTTGCCGCATTTACCCTTCTGCCTCAGCCGTGAGGCTGACATACTAGATTCTTTTTCAGGTACCTCTTAAGCACAGCGAATCCTGTATGCACAGAGGAGGGGGAGGGAGGACTTTTGGGTTTCCTATTACTGGTCTGTGAGGGCTCAAACATTTGTATTCTAGAGATGATCTGACAGTTGTCCCCCAAACGGTGTAAGAGACATCCTGGTGACTTTCACAGTAACAGGCGTATGCATGCATACCTACAGCAGCAGGAAGCAAGGAGTGATGAATTTTGCAAGAAGAGGTATGGGCTGGAACAGGTGTTGGAAGCAGCAGCAGTTTACAGCGATAGAATGGAGGAAGTACATCACAGATGGGAGAACAGCATGGACCAAGTTTTACTAACCCGAGACATAACATGGTTCTTCAGCGAACTCTAAGTACCTTTGTTCATTTTGCCACAGTTATGGTGGATTCATTTCTTTCTTTCTTTTTTAATTTTGTTTTATTGTCTAAAGTATTACACATAGTAGTACATATATCTCCCCCGTCTCCCCAGTTGACTTTCCCCCAGGTGGATTCCTTTCTTGTTCCAGTATTTAGTGATAAGCTTCCTCGGTTCTTCACAAATTTCAAGTTAAATATATGTCAAATATTTAGAAAAGTGCCTGGCACATGGTTAGCACTATCTCAGTGAAAATTCTTATAACCATACAGCTCAACTTTTTAAAAGTACAAAATATTTTTTAAAATTCTCTAGCCCAGCCTACCATCCTATCCCGTTTTCTATGCTTGCCCTCCTTAATCTCCATCCTTCAAACACCCCAAACAATTCCTTTCAAAAGCCAAACGTTTGAAGAGGCCAGTCTAAAACAGGTGCAACACAAACATCCATAAAACAGAAAGGCCTTGCAGGACAAGGGCAAATGTTCCATGTTTTGGATCTGGGTGTGATGATTGTCAAACAAATAGAATCTAAAGCAGGGGTTGACATTTTTCGTCTGTTCCTGACAAAGTCCTATTTCAGAGGTTTGTTGACATAATCGCCTCCCGGCCCTCTAATAAGAACCTCGTCCTTGCCAAAACCGGTTTGGCTCAGTGGATAGAGCTTCGGCCTGTGGACTGAAAGGTCCCGGATTCAATTCCAGTCAAGGGCATGTACCTTGGTTGCAGGCACATCCCCAGTAGCGGGTGTGCAAGAGGCAGCTGATCGATGATTCTCTCTCATCGATATATCTAACTCTCTATCCCTCTCTCTTCCTCTCTGTAAAAAATCAATAAAATATATTTAATAAATAAATAATAAAAAGTGTATATAACTAAAAACAAAAACAAAAATAAAAACAAAAAAACCTAATTCTCCGTAGATCGCCTGCAGAATCAGTGCGGGAGTGCGGACCCGGCCAGATGTGGCGGTTCTCCCGGCCAGTGTGCCATGTAACCAGGGCGCTGGGGCTGAAGTGGCACCTGGAAAAGGTAAAGAGGAAGGGAAGGCCGGCCTGGGTATTGGGGCAGAAGACCCAGGAGGGGGCAGCAGTAAGGAGCCGCGCCGTCCCGGGCCGGTGGGTACCGGGGGCGGTAGAGGGTCTAACCGGGTGGGGCGTGGGGAGGATGCGAGAGAGGAACGTGGCGAAGGTACCTGCCGGGGGCGCCGCGTCCAATGGGAAGAGCGCGCGAGCAGCCGCACCTCAACCTGCCCGATAACGTCACGACGCCGGGGCGGACGCCGGGCCAATGGGAGGCCGCCTCGGGCAGGGGGCGGGGCCTGGAGGACTCGGGGCCGGGCGCCGTGAGACAGTTGGCGGGGTCGGGTGGCCACTGCGGGAGAGGGAAGCGCGAGCGGGGCGGCCGTGGACGCCACCGCCACCTCCCGCATGGTGCCGAGCCGTCCGTAGGCGGCGGCGGCGGCGGCGGCGGCGGCGAGGCCTGCGGGGCGGCGCCGCGGAGGGGGTCGGGGTCGCGGCTTCCCGGCGCCCACACTTCCTCCTGCGGCGGCCGTCTCGGTGGGGGCGGGATGGCGGCGGCCCCGGGGAGCGGCCGCGCCTCTGCGCCCCGGCTGCTCGCGCTCCTGCTGCTACTTCCGCTGCTGTGGGCCCCGGCCCGGGTCCGGGCGGCCCCCGACGAAGACAGCCTCCGGAACAAGGAGCCGCCGGCGCCCGCGCAGCAGCTGCAGCCCCAGCCCGTGGCCGCGCAGGGCCCCGAGCCGCCGCGGGCCGAGGTGAGCCGGCCGGGCCGGGCCGGGCCGGGCCGGGCGGGCGGGCGGGCGAGGCGGGCGGGGCTGCGGGTACCAGGCTCGCGGCCGCCGGCGGCGGGGGAGGGGAGTCTGCAGCCGGGCTCCCGGGGGTTGGGGACGGCGGCGGAGGCGCTTTTCCGGGGTCAGGCCGGGGCCCCGCCCGGCTCCGTGTGCGGCGGGGAAGGGACGGAGCCCTCTGGGATCGGAGGACCGGGATGCTGCTGAGGAATGGGGGAAGCCTGGTCGGTCCGATGGGGGGGGGGGGGGGGGGGGGGAAGGGGAGGGCTGAGCTGGGAAACACTCATCCCAAGTAGGAAGTTTCACCCCGAGGGGCGGCGGGGAGGCTTCTCGTATTCAGAGGAGAGAAAAGAACACGGGGCTTCTCATTCTTGGAACCGCTGACCCAGATTCAGCTTCGCAGGACTCGTGCTTTTTTTTTGTTTGTCCTCTGACAAATGTACCTGGGATTTTTGCAGCGTGACGCGCGCACTTTTTAAAAAGCGTGTTCTCGCTTGTGGGGAGCAGCCCTTGGGCTCGCGGAGGGATGGGCAGCGCTGGGCAGGAGTAGCGGGGTGGGTGCTGCCGCTGAACGTGTAATGAGGATCCCAGACTTGTCCCCTGGCCTTCCCTGAATAGGTATTAATGTCTTAATGTATGCTCATAGGACCGCTTAGTCACTTATATCTAAACGTAAAAATTTCCTACACACACCTGCCCTGGGCTTCCTCCTCCTTTCCAATTTGAATTCCTGAATTCGGATCTTCCGTCCTGTGACTGGCCCTCAGCCCCCCTCCCTCCTCTCCTTTCACCCGAGGCTGTATGGAGCCACCCAGCGAATCTTCCTGAACTTTGAATTCTGTGTTCCTTCTCGGAAATCTTCCCAGCGTTGCCCCTGCCTGCCTGCCTGCCTGCCGGCCTGCCTGCCGATTTCAGTCCAAGCCTCTTGAGCAGGATGTTCAGGTTTCTGCAGGATCTGGCTCCAGCCAACCCCCAGGCTTCTTAGTCACCGCTCCCTGGCCCACGTGCTTTGCTCAAACCGGAGGGAGACCTTGCCATGTGCGCTCGGGGCCAGGTCTCTCCAACAAAGGGTCTCCCCGCACGGGCTGCGGGAAGCGTGGAGCCCACCGCTTAGAACCTGGCCACCCTCCCAGAGCCAGCAGCTACCTCCCTCTCTGCGAGGACTTTCTCGCCTCGCTCAAAGGGATTTCTCTCTGGCTCCTCTTTCCTGGGCTTTAGCTGACCCTGTTTGCCATTTCCAGGTCTGAAACTGAACTGAAATGCTGATTCGTGACATTCATTCTTACAGAGTTTATCATTTAGTCTCCTGTCATTTAACTCATTGGGAGTTTTGTTTTCTTTTCTCCCCCAAAACATTCATTATTAAGTAATAACTTTGTGAGATATTTTTAATGTAATTTTCTAGGCCTTTCATTACAGTTTTAGTCATACCATGACTTTTGAGATACAAAATAATACCCTTTAGACAACGTGGGTGAAAAAAATCCAGCCATAAAATAAAGTCATCAGTGTCTAGTGAGCATATTTAAGTGGCCATATGGATCCTTATCTTTAAAATTGTGGATGTGGAGGCAAGGGGCCGGCACAATATATGATGTTTGTCTTTCGATATTTTGATATATTCTTAGTAATTATTTTTTGATAGGAATATATTCTAATTTCTATATCATAGTAGAATCCAATTGTTTTAATTATATTTTCATCTAATTTTTTGGTAGGCTCAACTGCTTTCTCTACTTAGAGTAAGTACTATAGCATGTTAGGAGACATTTTTTAAGGGTTGGCTATTTAAACTTACCCTTTTCATGCCACTGTGAGAGTGGATTTCTGAAAGTAAGGGAGGTTGGACCTCTTCTAATGATCATCATTCAAGTGTAAGATGTATTATTAAAATGCAGTTATATCTTACAGGGTGTTTTGAAGCAAGATAACTGAATTTCTAACAGCTTTCTACTTTGGGTATTTTTTTTCTCTATGATCAGATAAAAGTCCGGGGAATTCCCTCTGAACTTAGAATTAAACCCCAATGTATAAACAAATGGAAAGAAATATGGTTGATCATTTGTATTCACTTATGCAGTTAATGCTTCTAGTGACTTACTCAGTTTTTTTCTTATTCCTTCCCTAGGCTGAGTACATAATATAAGAAGCATTAAGTCCTTTTAGTTGAGGGAGGTTAGATAGATTTAATAAAGGTAATTTTTAATTTGCTGCATATTCTGGAAGTCCCAAGAACTGTTCTGGTTAAGTAGCACTGTTGATAAAGCCTGTTATCTGACCCAATACAAATTCTTGATATTTACTGTTTCTTGGCATTTCTTTTATTATCTTTTAACTGTGAGAAAGCCTTCCGCACAATATTTGACCTTTTTTTTTTTTTTTCATTTTCATTAAGTTAACAGTTCTGCTTCATGCAGTCCAGTCTCCCATTTCTAGCCTCTTTGTAGCTAAGATTGAGGCCATGAGATATGAGAACGCTTTTCTTGCTCAGGATTGCTGTGTCAGAGTGAAGTGAACGTTATGTTGCCAAATTCATTGCCTGGTGTTCTACCATCAAAGCAATTCATTAAAATCAGTGAAACACATATTACCATTCAAATGTCCAAATTTATAAGTCCATTAAAAACAATATTCATAAAAATAAAGTTGTTAAAACATTCATTAAAATAAAAATGTATTTGTTAAATATGTATTCTAGTATGAATTAACAAGTAACATTAATAAAAAATAAAATATTTAAAAAACAGACTAAACCATCCATAAAAAGAAAAAAAATTTTTTTAAATACATTTTTATTGATTTCGGAAAGGGAGAAAAAGATAGAAACATCAATATGAGAGAATCATTGATCAGCTACCTCCTATACTCCCCCTACTGGGGATTGAGCCTGCAACCCCGCATGTGCCCTGACAGAATGGAACCCTGACCTGGTTCAACTAGTGAGCCATGCCAGCCAGACTGATGGTGAAAATTTATAATAAAATACAGTCTTTATTGTAATACAATTTTTAAAAACCAGGTTTACCCATGGTGTCATTGTTGAAGTTGAATGTATATTTTTGTGCACACTTTTGATCTTCTGAAAGAGGTTTTCTGGCTTCTTATAATAAAGTACTATAATGGTTAGGAGACACTTTTAAACCAATTCTAAGCATTTCCTTCTGACTCTTTTATCCTTAAATAACCTAACCTCTTGTGTGGTAACTTTTGTTTAGCACTTTTTGTTTTGTGTTTTTTGTTGTTTTTTCAGGGATATCACTCTCTTTTCTAAGAAAGTATCTTCATCTTCCCTAGTATTTTGTGTAGATGAAGATTCTGCTGCGCAAGTATCTTGTTTTGTTTCATAATCAAACATATGTATTCATTTGAACTCTAGAACTAGGAGGAGTTATTTTTTCATTGTTGACTGTCATTTTCTTCCTTGAAGATCATGAAAGTAGAAAAGAATACTTTCTAAGTGAGCATATGTTTTTCCTTTTACAGTTTTTCAATTTGGAATTAATTTTAACTTTGAGTAAAGACAAGTCAATTTCTAATTATAATTTGTTGATCTTACTTTCAAGATGTAAATGTTTTAGGTTTTAGACCCAAATTAAAATAATGAAATGTTATTTGTACTAAGGAAAACACTGTATTCTGTTACTTACTATTTCATTACACTATAATTGAAATGATAGTCACTGCATCTGACTCTTGTACACATCTATTATTTGCTTCTCTGCCCGTACCTTCTGTCTTCAGACTGGACAGAACTATTATCCTTTCCATACCTTTTCTCTGTGTCCATGTGTCTATTCTCTGATCTCTGGTATTTTTCTTCCTCGATATCTTTATCTTTTTATTGGTTCCTTTCTGTCTGCATACACATGCCCATAGGTTCTTACCTACTTGGGGAAAGAAAGAAGGAGGCCATTAATTTAAGTCACCCTGACTGCGTTATAAGCATACCTTGGTTCATTGCGCTTCACTTTGTTGCGCTTCACAGGTATTGCGTTCTTTACAAATTTGAGGCAAGACCCTCCACCAGCAGAAAGATTACGACTTGCTTTATTGGGAGGCTGGCTTTATTGTGCTAGTCTGGAACTGAACCCACAGTGCCTCTGAGGTATGGCTGTCGTTTTGTTTTTCAGTTTTATCAACCAAATTTCTTCTCTCTAGGAAATGAGCTGCTTTTTTACTTTGCTTTAGTCTTCCATTATCTGGCTTGAGCCCCTGTCTTTTTATTATTATTATTATTATTTTTTTTTTAGGCCTCATGTGAGGATATGTTTTTACTGATTTTAGAGGGGAAGGGGGAAGATACAGAGAAGAAAAAAAAATCACTATGAGAAAGAAACATTGATCGGTTGCCTCCCATATGTGTCCCAACCGGAAATCAAGCCCACAACCTGAGTATGTGCTCTTTCCAGGAATCAAACCTGCAACCTTTTGGTGAATGAGACAGTGCTCCACAACTAAGCCACTCAGCTAGGGCTGAGCTCTGTCTTTTTATTGAAATTTCATTTTTGAAGTATAACTTTACCTTACCTAATTGCTAAATGGAGGGCTCTTTTTCAGTTCTAATTTGACTCTGTTCTCTCTCTACTTTTTGAAGAGTTGGACTCCCATCTTTGGTGTATGAACTTGGAAAAATTATTTAACACTATTGGTCCTCGGTTACTCATCTTGTGTTAAATTGGATAACAGTTCTTAAGGTTTTTGAGTATTTGAATAATATATATGAAAATACCTGTCATCTAATTGATACCGTGTTTCCCCGAAAATAAGACATCCTCCGAAAATAAGACCTAGCGCATGGAAAGATAAGACATCTCCTGAAAATAAGACCTAGCGCAACTTTGGGAGAAAAAATTAATATAAGACCCTGTCTTATTTTCAGGGAAACAGGGTAGTAAGTAGCTCAGTGAATGGTGTTTGTCTCTATCTTGACCAATTGTGGTGATCTCTGGCCTGGCTTTCTAGATATTTAAGACAGTTTTTTTTTTTTTTTTTTTTCCCTCTCTCTCTCTCCTCTCCCCCTCCCCCTCCTAATCCTTTTTCCCCTAAAAAATAGACAGTCCCTAAGGCTTTTCAACTTAATCTCTAGGCCTTTTCCCATGGGAATTTCATCTACTTGCAAAGCTCTAACTGATAAATTTAGGCTTCCAAATACATGCCCTGAGGCTAAACTCAGGGGTCCCCTTTGTATGACTTCTTGGAAACCTTCATTTGAAATGCTTTTTTATCACCTCAAATTGAATGTGTCTGAAACCAAACCCCTTATTTTTATTTCTTTTTCCTACATACCTTGTAGGAATACTAGTATTTCTCTTAGTCAACCCGATAGAAAACCTTAACCATCATCTTTGATTCTCCCCTCTTTTTAAAGTTCTGTTGACTCTCTTTCCATAATGTAGATAATTTTTTTTCCCTTTTATCGATATTAATATTGGTTTTGAGCAGCTGATTTCCTAATTAATTGGTCTGGTGGCTGGTATTTTTAGCCCTGATGTATAAGTCACAGTGCTTTAATTAAGTTTGTGTCTTCTACTCAACTTTTAAAGGCTTCTTGCTTGCCTCTAAGTTGGGCCATAACCATACAGGATTTTTAGTCTGGCCCTTATGTAGCTTGTTACCCCACCCATTCATCTGAAGGTTTGCTTCCTATTCTCAGAACATGTCAGTATTCTTTCACATTGTCAGTCCAGGGAAGGAGGTAAATGCATGTACTCGAATGCATTTTCAAGTTCGCCTTTGCATGAGTGATAGTACTGAATTCTGCCGAGACTTTGAAGGAGCCTTATAAAATGAACCTCAGAACCAACTTCCCTCATCAGTCAGAGATTGCCCCATAGCTGTTAACTCTATACTTGTAGGTAGTGAATGCGTAAATGCAGGGCACTTCTGGTCAGACCTATATGAAGATTTAGAGCTTATAAGGAATTGGTTTCGATAGATAAAATAGATAGATAGATAGATAGATAGATAGATAACAAATAGATATAATCTTAGTCTCTTCTCCCTTTGTAACCATCAACTTGTTCTCAATCTATAGATCTATTTTCTGTTTTGTTTTAGATTCCATAAGTAAGTGAAATCACAAAGTATTTGACTTATTTCATTTAGCATATCATCATCAAGGCCCATCCATGTTGTCACAAATGACAAGATTTTATAATATGCCTGTGTCTGTGCATGCGCATGAATGAATCATATCTTTGATTAATTGTTTTGCTTGTATCTGTCCAGTGTTCCCAGCACCACTTATTAAAGAGACTATCTTTACCCTATTGTATATTATTGCCTCTCTTGTTATAGAATAAATGAGGATTTATTTCTGGTTGATGCCATTGATGTGTGTGTGTGTGTGTGTATAATTATACCAGTACTATACTATTTTGATTATTGTAGTTTTATAATATGGTTTGATATCAAGAACTGTGATCCCTACTTTGTTCTTTCTCAAGATTCCTTTGGCTGTTCAGGGACTTTTGTGGTTCCATATAAATTTTAAGATTAGTTTTTCTTAAAATGTGGTGCCTCAGAGCCGGTATTAGTATCAATTAAATTGTGACATTAATAAAATATTTAAAATGTAGTGTCTCAGAACCAGTACGTAAAGAATGAGCATCGTAGAATGCTCACTAACTCTTTAAAGCAGCCAACCTTTTGGACCTCACAGACCACCAGTTGGCGACCCTGTGTTGAAGTGCTTAAAGTGTTTGTTGCCCTTTTGGAACTTTGTTACGTTTTCAACTTAAATGTCAACCAAAGCACTGTTTCTTTTTATCAGGACATATTATCTCTTGGGATAATTTTAGCCATTAGTGTAGCTCAGTGGTCGGCAAACTCATTAGTCAATGGAGCCAAATAGCAACAGTACAATGATTGAAATTTCTTTTGAGAGCCAAATTTTTTAAACTTAAATTTCTTCTAAATAGACTCACCCAGGCCGTGGTATTTTTGTGGAAGAGCTGCACTCAAGGGGCCAAAGAGCCACAGGTGACTCGAGAGCTGCAGTTTGCCGGCCACTGGTGTAGGACCATCAACATCGAGCTATATTAGACATCTTAGCTACAGTCAATTCTTTTTCCAGCGTATTGAGAGCTTTCTGAATCATACTCTTTCCTCTAAAGCACATGTGTCAAACACAAGGCCCGCGGGCCAAATCCTTCCCGCCAGGCCTTGCAATGTGGCCCGCACCGTGCTGTCATCACTACACTCCGCTGCGTTTCCATCACAATGACAGTTTATGACGGTTCAGTAAACCATTCGGCCTGCGATTTAGGCTGGATTTTAGATTTTGGCCCCTTCTCTGATTGAGTTCGACACCCCTACTCTAAAGTGTTAATGAAATTTATCTCAGCTTCCTGTTATTTGGATGTTTGATAAGCATACTTTGGTCCTTCACACCTGTTACAAATAAAAAGCTAAGAACTTAGTCTCAGCTCACAAATTCTTAGAAAAGAAGGTAATTTCAATGTGTGGATATAGTTGATCTACACTTACCATATTTTTCGGACCATAAGACGCACTTTTTTCCCCCCAGAAGTGGGGGGGAAAAGTCCTGCGTCTTATGGTCCAAATATAGCCTACACATATACTTTAAAAAAAAAGTTTTTTTACTTGCCCGGCTCTGTGTGGTCTCTGTGTGCTTGCCCGGCTCTAAAATGGTTCTAAATGCTGCTGTTTACAGGGTTGATTACATGTGTTTATGACTGTGATGTTGGGTTTTAATGCACATAAAATATTTTAGGACACTATTTGTTTCAGAATCTTTTTTTCTTCATTTCCCTTCTCTAAAAACTGGTGCATCTTATGGTCCGGAGCATCTTATGGTCCGAAAAATACGGTATTTAAAACCAGAGGCCTGGTGCACGAAATTCATGCGTGGGTACAGTACCTAGGCCTGGCCGGCAATCAGGGCCATCTTCCACAGCTGTCCACAGCTGGGCCCGACCCCCTGCTACCCACCAAGGTTCCTGGTGTTTGGTGCTTGGCAACTGGGGGAAGGGACTGAGAGGTCCTGTTTCCGCCCACTTCCTGCTCCCCCTTCCTGCCCCCCCAAGTGGGTGGCCATCAGGTGATGGGTGCCTGCAAGCCAGTAAAAGGAACCAAGAGATAGTCAGTGTGCCTCATAGTGACTGGTCCAGCTGTTGTTCTGCCGTTAGGGTCACTTTGCATATTTTCCTTTAATTATATAGGATAGAGGCCTGGTGCACAGGTGGGGGCCAACTGGCCTGCCCTGAAGGGGGTCCCCAATTAGGGTGGGGGATCCCCATTGGGGGCAGGGCTGGTCTGGGCGAGGGGCCACCTGCAGTTTGCAGGCCAGCCCTGCCCCCTGGCTTTGTCAGGAAGGACTTCTGGAAGAAGTATGGTCTAATTAGCACATCACCCTTCTATTAGTATAGACTGTTTTGTAGAATTGTACTTGGATCTGCATTGTAGCAATCATCAATTAGAGGTTTCTGTCATTACTAATGGTTTTCAAAATGATTACACAGTAAATAAGTCTAATGACCATGACAGAAAAAATATCTTAATTCACATACAAAATAAAAGAATTGTAAATAACTACTTATTTAAAAAAAAATAGCTGATGTATATATATTTTTTTATTTCAGAAAGGACGCACACCAGCTGTCCCAGTTCATACTAATAAAGAAGATGCAGACACCCAAACTAATTTGGGGTTTATTCATGCATTTGTCGCTGCCATATCAGTTATCATTGTATCTGAACTGGGTGATAAGACATTTTTTATAGCAGCCATTATGGCAATGCGCTATAACCGTTTGACAGTGTTGGCTGGTGCTATGCTTGCCTTGGGCTTAATGACGTGCTTATCAGGTAAGTAAGTGTGCTTTTCTTTCTAGTTTGTTTATTGGTTTTAAGCAACAGCATGGTGTTTGGTATGGAGTCACTGAATCATTCAATTAATCATGGAATTTGGTTCATATTCCAGAGTTTTATAAAAAGAAAATGGTTTTAGTTCCTAAATTCCTGAAAACTATTCTACATTTTAAAAATTAAATGTTCAGCTATTCAATTAAAATACATACTCCTGCCCAAACTGGTTTGGCCTGCGGACTGAAAGGTCCCAGGTTTGATTCCAGTCAAGGGCATGTACCTTGGTTGCGGGCACATCCCCAGTGTGGGTGTTCAGGAGGCAGCTGATTGAAGTTCTCTCCCATCGATGTTTCTGACTCTCTATCCCTCCCTTCCTCTGTAGAAAATCAATAAAAAATATATTAAAAAAAAAGATATATACTCCTCATTTATTCACTGGATTGGAATCCTTACTTTTGCTGTATATTCTTTCTTTCCTCCCCTCCCCCCCTTTCAGTCCAGATAAGCTTATTTATGTCTAATATCTTACAAGTAGAACTCAAGCAGCCACACAGAATTGCATATTCTCCTGTTGAAGGACATTTGATAATCAATAACTGAGGAATCACTCTTGGTTTATTGTATTCTATTAAGCTGTTGTTACCCATTATAGTAAAGGAGTGAAACGCTCTTAGATTCCTACTTTGTGCTGTTACATAGGCTTGCTTTTCAAAGAATTAGATCATGAGAAAAAAAACTTACCACTCAATAATTAGACATAATTTAGTTTCTGATTCAGAAGCAACCTTGAGCCACCTAGCTGGGCAGAAATAGTAAGCTTCCTCCTTAGAGTCAGACTTGGTCCAGGGTCTGACTGCCATGTATTAGTGTAATGGTAAGTTACTGCAGCTCTTTGAGTTTCAGGTTCCCCATCTGTAAAATGGAAATCTCTACCTACCTCATAGGGTCACAAGTGCTCAGTCATTCACCCTGATCTTCCCTCAGCCATTTCCATTTCTGGCTGCTTGATGCTGATAGTAGTTTATGTCTTTTAAAACATGAGTATTTTTTTTTTTAATATATTTTATTGATTTTTGTACAGAGAGGAAGGGAGAGAGATAGAGAGTTAGAAACATCGATGAGAGAGAGTCATCGATCAGTTGCCTCCTGCACACCCCCCCACCGGGGATATGCCCGCAACCAAGGTACATGCCCTTGACCGGAATCGAACCCGGGTCCCTTCAGTCCCCAAGCCGACGCTCTATCCACTGAGCCAAACCGGTCCCGGCTAAAACATGAGTATTTTAATGGTTAAATTAATTTGACTACTTTTCATATTTTAGAAATTTGCATGAGCATTATTCGTATTTCACAATAAAAACAGTTTTCTCTTCAAAAGTAAATTTTGATTATAGGAAATAGGAATAGTGGAGAGGGTTGTAAATGTAAAGTTAACTTGTTTGGAATGAGGTTCAGTAAATTAGAGAATTTTATTTTTGAAACTTTGAGCTTTGAGATAACTAGAAAGCTATCCTCTGCCCATTCCCTCACCGGAAGCTGGCTCCATCAATTCCCCGCCATATTTGTGTTCATCTCCGTTTCCTCAGCTGTAAGTGAGGCTAGTCTCTCCTGCCTGACCATCGGCCCACCTCCCTTTAGCTGCTGGTGCTGTCTGACAGCTCTTATCACCTGTACTATTGAAAGGATAGGTTTTATTTGTGGTCTTCAAACTTTTTCCTCGTGTATCAAATAATTTTGGAAAAGTATGTACCTCCTGTCACATGGGAGTGATCTAAGACTTGTCATATTAAGCTTAAGGCGTTGCGGAGACCTAATTTCTGGTATAGTAAACAAAAACTGTATGGCATTCTTTTAAAACGGAACTTTTTCTCTGCCAAGGGCCATTGGATATTTGTAACATCATTCGTGGGCCATACAAAATTGTCAACTTAAAAATTAGCAGGAACACATGTAATACTTTAAAAAATAAATACATAGAAAGAATTAACTTGCTATATCTGGTCAAACATTTAACTTACCCTAATGCCCTGGAAGGGCCAGACCAAGTGATTTTGAGGGCCCTTTATGGCCAGTGGGCCCGATATTCCCTCCCCCCATGTTTTAAAACATAACCAGTGGACTCTAAGATTAGCAATTTGATAACCACTATCACCATCATTCCTTTAAAAAAGCATAAGTAAACCTTTAACACTTGGAAATTTACATTGTTCTTTTTTCTTATTTTCATTTACTTTTGCCATAGAACTTTAACAATTACAAGTTTTTACCTGAAAATATTTTTTTGGATCACACTGTTATATTCATTTTTGAACAAAAATATGTATATAAAGTGAATTTTAAAAGATGCTGAAAATTTTCTTTAGATCTCTAAATGTTAACAGTTTGTATGAGTGGAGTTCTAGTTATTAGTACATAGTTGATCAAAGCAAAATCTATCACAAATTTAAACATTCTTTAAAAGTTGGAAATGCTTCTCTTGAGATAATACAACTATTATTATTTGTTTCTAATTATCATCTGAGGACACATATTTATTGATTTTAGAGAGAGAAGGAAGATGAGAGAGAGAAAAACATTATCTGTTGCCTCTGCATATTCTGACTGGGGATCAAACCCACAATCCAGATATGTGCCCTAACTGAGAATTAAACCTGCAACTGTTTAAGTGTATAGGACAATGTTCCAACTAACTGAGCCACCTGACCAGGGCGATAGAATTATGATTTTTATTTATTTATTTATTTATTTATTTATTTATTTATTTATATTGATTTTTTACAGAGAGGAAGAGAGAGGGATAGAGAGTTAGAAACATCTATGAGAGAGAATCACGGATCAGCTGCCTCTTGCACACCCCCTACTGGGGATGTGCCCGCAACCAAGGTACATGCCCTTGACCAGAATCGAACCTGGGACCTTTCAGTCCGCAGGCCAATGCTCTATCTACTGAGCCAAACCGGTTTTGGCACAATTATGATTTTTAAAATTAGTTTATATATACTGACCTGGCGGGGAGATATCATGCTTACAAAGGTGATTTTTCCTAGGGCAAGGCTTATCCATTGCACTCTGGATGTGCTGACCCCTGTGATTCTTCCCCGCCCTCCCCCCCCAAAAATTTTTTTTTTAAATAATAAAATTAGTTTATATGTCCATAACAACTTATTGCTACTATAGAGCAAGGTTTAGAATCAATTCTGATCTTTTTAAAAAATAGATAAAAAGGCAGATAGATTGTATTCACATAAATAAGAAGGAATTTTATTATACCATGTCACTCAGTTCCTTGGAATTCCTGGGTTATAGATTAAGAATTACATACTAGTTGGTTTATCATAAAAAATGATAAATCAGCTGGCAACTTAATAACTTCTTTTGATTTTGTTGAAAGCAGAGATTTAGAAACCAAGCATACAAAGAAAGTTTTTCTGAAATTTATCAAATGACTGTTCTTATACATATTAGTCTTATACTTAGAAGTACTTGGTATAACCGAGTATACTATATTTATAAATGGTTGTGAAAATAGAAATATTGTTCATTTCAGTGTACTTTGCCAATAAAATATTTCACTTTAAATTTTGTATCACATTGTATGTTTTAAATATATTTTCCTGGGACCTTGGAACTGTAGATTTAGTACATTCAGTTTATGGAAAATATCTACCACATTACCCAATTGCCATGAAGTATATCCATAGTAAATCATTTAAGTCAGGCTTATTTTCTGACAGAAAGCATTTGACTTTGCTTTTGAATTTAAATAAACAGGATATACATCCCTGTGACAACTATCTACTTTAGAATTTTAATTCTAACATGGATGGATGGATAAACTTGGCATGTAACCCTGCCATGAGTGTGCCACCTGGGTGAAATAAGACACAGAACTCCAGTGTCTCTGATGCTCTTTGTTATTACAAGACTCTGCCTTAGGGAAAATGAATTATTGCTACACTGGCAGGGGATGAAAAAGGCATGTTATTTAGTGAAAATTATTACTACTGAGGCCAAAATATTCTGCTGATGCCATAACCAATATTTCCAATGACCATAATGCCATTATTTCTAATGCTGTGATCTTTCCAGAAACGTGTATAGGACAGGGAAGACCCAAAGACATATCTCTGGTTTATGATGCCTGGATTGAGAACACCAATATTTCAAATCCCTTTCGGTGTCCTAGAATATCTATTTTTCTACACAACAGGGAAATGCACCTTAGGAAGTTGGGTGAAGGTGTATTTGTAAATTGAGCAGAGGACAACTGCGAAGAAAGGACATGAGAGGAGAACCTGCATGACTCCTTAACTATAAGCATGTTTTCAGGCAGATGAGTTTAGGAAAGAGTAGAGTATGGAAGTTAAGAACATAGGGTGCATGCGTTCTTTCTGATGGCCAAGAGTCATATGGAAAAAAACGCTCAAAGTCATTAATCATCAGAGAGATGCAAATTAAATCAACAATGAGGTATCATCTCACACCTGTCAGAATGGCTACCATCAACAAATAACAAATGATAAGTGCTGTGGAGGATGTGGAGAAAAGGGAACTGCTGGTGGGAATGCAGTCTGGTACAGCTACTATGGAAACAATATGGAGTTTTCTCAAAAAATTAACAATAGAATTGCCATTTGACACAGTAATCCAATTTCTATGAATATATCCTAAGAAACCCAAAACTCCAATAAGAGATTATGACTAGTTCTTGACTAGAACTCTACATAGCTGAGGTTTGACCTTATAAAAGCATCTTATCTGGCCCTCATTATGTTAGTTTTATTCACTCTGTTACGATTTCTTTTTTTCTTCCTTTGCAACTAATATGCAATCTTAGGGAAACATTTTAAGACTGTAAATACCTTATTCTCCTAAGTTTAGCATCAGTTGATGACTCCTTACATGATTTAAATCTTCCCCTGATGCTTGCAAAATGGGCTTTCTAACTCCGGTACTTCACTGCACTTACCAGTGAGCCCTGCATATTACTTTACAAAGAGCTCTTCCTCCTCTCCAATTGGTTTGTCTTCAGTATAAACTAATGAATTTTCTTTTTCCAGTGGTTTATAATGAACTAAAGGCCCGGTGCATGAAGTTTGTGCATGAGGTTGTGTGTTCCTCAGGCCAGCCTGCACCCTCTCCAATCTGGGACCTCTCGAGAGATGTCCAGCTGCCTGTTTCGGGCCTAAATGGACAGCTAGACATCCCTCTCACAATCCAGGACTGGTGGCTCCCAACCACTAACCTGCCTGCCTTCTTAATTGCCCCTAACCACTTTTGCCTGCCAGTCTGATCACCCCCTAACCACTCCCCTGACAGCTTGATTGATGCCTAACTGCTCCTTGCCAGCCTGTTTGTCCCTAACTGCCCTCCCCTGCAGGCCTGGTCACCCCTAACTGTCCTCCCCTATAGGCCTGGTCACCCCAACTGCTTTCCCTTCAGGCCTGGGTCTCCTCCCAACTGTCCTCCACTGCAGGTTTGATCACCCCCAACTTTCCTTCTCTGCAGGCTTGATCACCCCCAACTGCCCTCCCTTGCATGCCTGGTCCCTCCCAACTGCCCTTCCCTGCAGGTCTGATCCCTCCTAATTGGCCTCCCTGCTGGCCATCTTGTGGTGGCCATCTTGTGTCCACATGGGGACATCTGTCTTTGATCACATGGGGGCAGCCATCTTGGGTGTTGGAGTGATGGTCAATTTGCATATTACTCTATGATAGCAGCCTGGTACACAGGTGGGGATTAGCTGGTTTACCCTGAAGGGTATCCTGGATCAGGATGGGGTTTTCTTGGGGTGTAGGGCAGCCTGGGTGAGGGGCGTATGTTGGTTTGCAGACTGGCCATGCCCCACAGAGTCCTTGATATCTGGAATTTCTCTTTTATAATTGAAATTTTGTAGTCTTGAACAGAGGCCTGGGCTGGCCTTAGTGTGCAGGAAGCTTGGCTTCCTCCATTGTCTGCTCGCTCCATGGCTGTAGCCATATTGGTTGGGTTAATTTGCATACTTGCTCCTGATTGGCTGACTGGCGTGGCTTGGTAGTGGCAGTATGGTCAATTTGCATATTACTCTCTTATTAGATAGGGTTACTTAACTATATTGTTGCTTAAATCTTCCCAGATTTGGTGGCTGGGGCCCCTCCAGATTGGCTCCTTTGTTCTTGTGACATGTTCTCATTGTTTATTTTGTTCTTACTTTCTAGTGTAAACACGATAGTGCAGGCTCATCTTGTATCTTCTCTGTCCAGTGTTGGAATTAGCCATTTCTCTGAGGAGCCTTTTAGTGGGGAATGGTATTAGAAACCAAGATCTGGGTATAGCAGGGCCTGACAGCAGGACTAGGACCTAACCCATGTCTGCTGGCTCCAGCTCCAGGGAGATCTTTGTGTATCTCCAGCAGTGAGGTCAGAGGCCTGCCCCAAGAGAGAGGAGCTTGTCACTGACATTGTCCAAATTTGCCGTGAATAGTGATAATAAAAAGGTTGTCCTTTGTCTATTTTATCATTGGTTTTGATTCTCAAAAGATAATGCATTCTCCTACTGCTCCCCACCAGCCATGGGAAGCCACCATGTTCTGGCATGCAAACGTGTTCTGGCCACCTTCAGGCGCTGCTTGCTACAGGTGTTTTGTAAGACCTGTGAGTAGAGTGGGCCTAACTCGTTCCCTTTCTCAAGACAACTCAATATGTTTATGGCTTTAGATTCTTACCTCAAAGTCACCATTTATCAAGGTGGAGATGAGGCAGAGCTACACAGAATGCAAACCCAGGGATGAGATGCCATGTAAGTAGAGAGATTCAAAAAACCCCCACAAGATCTGTGAAAAATGGCTCAGTTACTGAGATGTCTTTGCTTGGCCTTTTATTGGACAGATTAGAAAATAGATTGTGTGTGTGTGTGTGTGTGTGTGTACTAACACATATATAATTCAAATATAGATGTACACATCAGCATAGGTTTGGCACATTTCTAAACATGATTTAATTTTTTTTTTCAATTTTGTAATATAATGAAATAGGGACTAGTTCACTTAATGTAGTTGTATGCTTGTTAAGGCAGATTTATAAGTGTTGTACCCATTTTAGAAAGGAAGAGTAATTATTATATATATATGGAAATGTCCTTTGGCCCTTTCATATTTTCTTTTCCCCTATCCATATTTTAAAAATTTTAATTACTGAACTGATACTAATGTGTTTCCCAGTTATGATTTGGGATAGTTTTTGTTCATTTGTGTGTTTTTTTAATGGTTTGAAAGAGAGAGGAAGAGGAAGTGGGGAATAGGAGGGTGGGGGAGTTGGGGGGGGGGAAGAAGCATCAACTTACTGGTCCACCCATGTATGCATTCGTTGGTTGACGCCTGCATGTGCCCAGATTGGCAATCAAATCGGCAAGCCTGGTGCATTGTGACAACTCTTCAACCAACTGAGCCACCCGTCCAGGGCAGGATTTGGGTTCTTGCTGGTCCAAGTATAGTTTTTGTATAACTTACATAATTGTCCTCTTAACAATGGAAAAGAGTGGAATTGAATAAGTTTGGGTTCATTATAAATGTTATTTTAGTATAAGTATAAGGAATTCATTTTCTTTTATGAAATTTATTTTAAATAGCTACAAAGGAGCAGAGTTTAAATCATGCCCTATGAGAATCTTGTTATAGTTTTTCAATATAGAAGTTTATAATTTAAAGATTTTTGATGAAAAAAATATCACTTCCGTGGGAACTTGGTGTAGCTTTCAGGTTATATAAGATTTCAGGATCCTTAGAGGACAACAAAGTTAACCTTCTACCTAAAGTAGTAAACATGTCTAGAGAGGAGTTCTGTGGAACATGTGCTATCTTCAATTGGAATGCTGATTTTTTTCCCTTAAATATATTAATTTCAGTGAGGAAAGGAGAGGGATAGATAGAAACATCAATGATGAGAGAATTGTTGATTGGCTGCCTCCTGCATGCTCCCTACTGAGGATCAAGCCCACAACCCCAGGCATGTGCCCTGACTGGGAATTTACTCCTGACCTCCTGGTTCCTAGGTCGATGCTTAACCACCGATCACGCTGGATGGGCAAGGAACACTGATTTCTAGATAATCTATCTTAGGTCACTGGCAAGACCTCAGGGTTCAGTATTGGGGAAGGGAAAGAAGTGGGATTATTTAAGGTTATTATGCATTACATTAGCTTCTAATACAAATACTATTCTTTTAGAACAGGAATAAATTATGGTTTTTGAAGGCTGTGATATTTGCTAATTAACCAGATATACCGTGGCATTTTCTTCCAGTTTTGTTTGGCTATGCCACCACAGTCATCCCCAGGGTGTATACCTACTATGTTTCAACCGCATTATTTGCCATTTTTGGCATTCGCATGCTTCGGGAAGGCTTAAAGATGAGTCCAGATGAAGGTCAAGAGGAACTGGAAGAAGTTCAAGCAGAATTAAAGAAAAAAGATGAAGAAGTAAGTTGTAGCACTGTTAAATATCTGGACCAAAAAGGCACTCAACTGAGAAGAAACTGTCCAGAGGTTTCTCAGTGGTCATCCATGGCTGGGTGATGTGTGGTTTTTACAGATATAGCTTAGTTTGCTTAGTTTTCATTCATTCTGGGTGTGATGAGACTCTTCCTGGGTTAGTGTGAATGTAGTGAATACTAAATGTATGGAATCAGGTTCCTTAATTAAGGAACCTGATATAAACTTCCGAAAAAGCAGGAACTACTTTTCTCTACAGTATCTAAGCTAGCAAAGGATCAGTAAATACTGTTTGATTGTTGGGGGAGGAATGCAAGCATTGAGAATATGTTATTTGTTGCTGTGTGAGACAGTAATTCAAAAGATAAGTTTGGGGTCACAACTTTAGTTTCTTGGAGAATATTCCATAGAATTATCTTAAAAAAAAACACACACTTTTTAAAGAAAGATTAAGTAATTTTGTTCAGGTTTGTTTGCTTCCTGGGATCAGTGGTTTTTTGTTTGTTTTTTAAAATTTAGTTTCAACGAACCAAACTCTTAAATGGACCGGGGGATGTTGAAACGGGGACAAGCACGATACCTCAGAAGAAGTGGCTGCATTTTATCTCACCCATCTTTGTACAAGCACTTACATTAACATTCTTAGCAGAGTGGGGTGATCGCTCTCAGCTAACCACCATTGTTTTGGCAGCTAGAGAGGTAAGCGCACATAACTGATGTTCCTTCGCTCCAGAGCACACTGGACAGAGTCAGGGTTATTTCATATGCTAGAGTATTTATTTCAGCCAGGAATCCTGCTCCTCTTTAAAAGTGACCTTCTCCCAGTTTCTCCAGTCAGTGAGATGGTATTCTTATGTGCAAACTTAATTGCTCTCTTTTTGATTCATCTTCAGTTTTGCCAGAATGATGCTGTGTCAGTTGTCTTGGCTTGGCTTTCTTCTCTCAGAACTTTTCTTTGTATAGCTGACAATATAAATTGATATAATTTTTGAAGGTCAGTTTGTCATTAAATACCTAAAACCATAAAAGTGGGTATCTTTGGGTTCTTCCGTTCCTTGTGCAGAGATGACTTAGAAAATTTAAGTTCCTTGTGCAGAGATGACTTAGAAAATTGATTTTAGGGAAAGAGGAAGGGAGAGGGAGAGAGATAGAAATATCAATGAGAGAAAAACATCCATCAGTGCCTCCTGCATGGCCCTCACTGGGCAATCAAGCCCACAGCCCAGCACCTGCTCTGATGGAATCAAATGGGCGGCACTCAGACACTGGGTCACGCCAGCAGAGCTAAATTACATATTTTTATCTGATGGCAGGATTTAGATAACTAGCTTGATTACCATGTTTTTCATTCCTAGGAAATACCATAAAGGAACAGCTTCCTTAACAAAAACTGCAGTTAAGATAGAGAATAGGAGTTGAAGGCCCAGATTGAGATATTTGGGGCAGAGGAGCTTCAAAAATGCTGTATTTGGGGGGAAAATAATAGAATTCGGCTTTTTGTTAGATTCCTATATTTTAAAACAAACTTTCTTTTAAAATGTCACTTTATTGGCTTTGCTCTATCGTTTGCTTGATCTCCAGCCTCTTTGATTGGCCTCTTTTATTGACTTGAAAGTGACCACTTCGTTGTGGAGGTGGCAGTCCTGTGGGTGGGCTATCAGGAGGACAGAATCATTGCACTTTTCTGAACACTGCCATCTGAATGGCACAGTGGCTTGTGAGAGGCTCAGCATTCCGTCTGAGTTACCTTGGTCTAGCGTGTGGCACATGCTGACTGAGTTTGAGTCTTTTGCTATAAGATCCCATTTCCACAGCACCTCCTTGTGACCTATTTTGTGGGTTGTTCTGTGAAACAGTATAATGCATGTAGGGTCCCCAACACAGTGAGCACTCAATATTAGCCACCTTCCACACTACCAGCACCATGGGAATATATGTTTTTGTCCCCTTAACTTTTTTGTTGTAATTTTTTGTATAAAACAGGTATTCTAGTTCAGTTGGTTTAAGTCTGAACTTCATTTCTGTTTCCATCATAATTTAGTGTTCCCATACTGGATTCCACAGAAACCTAGTTGTCCTTTGACATGTTAATGGGTACTAAGCAAAAAAATAAATAAAAATTAGAAGGTTCTAGGGTCAACTAAATTTGGCAGTAATACATCCTGTTTTTTTTTCGTTCTGAAGATTGACTATACAAAATAACAAATACCGAAAAATCTTTTGTTAAAGGAACTATTTATTTAATCCAGTGATTTTTCAAATATAATTAAAAAATATATATTTTTACTGATTTCAGAGAGTACGGGAGAGGGAGAGGGAGAGAGAGAAAAACATCAGTGATGAGAATCATTGATTTGCTGCCTCCTGCACACCCCACACTGGGGATTGAGCCCACAATCTGAGCATGTACCCTAACTGGGAATTGAACTGGGACCTCCTGGTTCATAGGTCAACGCTTATCCACTGAGTCACGCCATTTGGGCCAAACATCGCTTTCAAATAGAATGAAAGCATCATCTGGCTTACCAGTTTTAGAAGTTGTACTACACACTTTGGGAAAAGCAGTCCCACTCTCCTGTTCTCAGCAGGTGTTTCAAAATGTCTCCATTTCCTTAGTTTCTGCACATACACTGCATACTCCTCACAGCCTCACTTATCACTTCAGAGAGAAGTGGAAATCATTCTACTTCATTCCCACCCATCCCCAGGCAGTCCTTTACCTCCTGGGATGCTAGCCCACATGTCCTAAGGAAATGGAGACATTTTGAAACACCTGAGAACAGGAGAGTGGGCCTCACAGGTAATGTTCATACAGTGCTTGGAGTTCATTGTAGCACTCGACAGGTCCCGCTTTGCTCATCTTCGGAGGCTATTTGCTTGGCCATCTCTTTGTCTTTTGAGTGCCTCTTCCTTTGTCATCCCTTCAGTCTTGCTAACAACCTCTGCATTCTCTCCGCGTTTTTACATTCAACCCCATAGCTTTTTCACCATTGAACTTAACTGATTCTTGACATTCTCCTCGTGTCATCCATAAACCCCTTCTCCATCGCTTCCTCTGCCTTTTTAATCTCATTGGTATTATTTATCCACAGAACTGTCACTGAGACACTTGGGTGCCATGCCTGAGGACACAGTGGAGAATGGGGACAGGGCTCTGTTCTTAGGAAGCATAGTCAGACTATACTGTAAAGGTTACCAAGTTCCCCCAAAACAGATGTTGCCTTCTGGAGGAGAAGTCTGCCTGCCTGTGAATTAAGTTTAATAACAGCTGAAAGGTTGGGTTTTTTTATTTTGCACATTTTTTTTCTTTTATCTCTAGTCCTTGTGTAATTGAAACATATTCCTTCAGGCAGCTATTATAGTTTCATGAATCTACATCATAATTCTTAGAATGGTTTTGTGCTTTTTTGAGTTGTTTTTGACCTCCATTTCAATGCTTAGTTACCTTTCTCAGGTAACAGTTTCAATGCTGGTTTTAAATTAATGTTACTTTGCTTCCAGGATCCCTATGGTGTAGCTGTTGGAGGGACAGTGGGACACTGCTTATGCACTGGATTGGCTGTAATTGGAGGAAGAATGATAGCACAGAAAATCTCTGTCAGAACTGGTACGTTTTGTTTTTAATTACAAAGAAAATGCCATGTCTTAATTCTTGGAATCACTGAGAGAGCTCAGAAAGGAAAGGGGCAGTTCATTTTAATTATTTCACTGTTTTTACTTCTGAAGTAGACTTGGTCTTTGTAATAAAAATCTCTTTAAGAGGTCCATTGTGTTGCCCCTACTTTTGCAAACATGGACTATCATATGTGTAGATGTACAATAAAATATAAATTCATCCATTAGCATTACTGATTCATGGTAGCTTTTTGTTAAGATTAATTTGCAGTAAAACAGCCATGATGTGGAAATAGAACTTTTGGGCCTAAAAGTATGTGTTACAAGATTGGGAACCATAGGTAAAGACTGTATTTACTGATTCTGTTGAAAATTTCATACTTACTTGGTAGGCCCAAAAGATGGTTCTTTGCTAGCCAGAAGTTATTGGCTGTTCTCTTATATAACTGGGTTTTAAGATGAGTTCTGTTGCTCATCAGTACAATTCTATCATTTCTCAAAGCAGTGCTGGAGAAGACACTAATTCTTACTATTCAAAGTCAGGCATGTTAAGTGTTTCTTTGCTGTGGAAATGGGGTCTAAGCCAGTGGTTCCCAATGTGGGGCAACCCCCCACAGGGGGGCAATTTAATTTTTAAGGGGGTCAATTTGAGAATGAGTTAACAGCGAATTTTTTTTGCATTTATGGTTCTAGGGGCCTCACATATAGTATATGCATATATAGTGACATTTATGCATTTCAGTTCTGTTTTGGAATTTTATTTGCTATTTTTTCATATCACTTCATATTTTTTTTTTTTAAACAATTTCTTAGTGATTTCTTCCTCAGTACTTCAGCTGTCCTTCCCCCCCCCCCCCCCTTTTTCATGAATGCTATGTTCTTTGGATGCATGTTTAGACCAAGTTAATGGCCTTTTAGGCTTCCTCCATGTGACTAGGAGTTCACTTTTTAAATAAGAAGAATTATATGTCGGGGGGAGGGGGGGTGATCAGGATTTTAGAGATGCTTAGGTGGGGCATGACCATAAAAAGGTTGGGAACCACTGGTCTAAGCTTTCTAATTTGTTTTTAAGGTTAATTTACTTGACTGGAAAAATGATGGACAACGTCTTGTCTTCCTCAGAGGAATTTTGCATCATTTAACTTTTTTTCTCTTCTCTTGCAGTGACAATCATAGGAGGCATCGTATTTTTGGCATTCGCATTGTCTGCACTATTTATAAGTCCTGATTCCGGTTTTTAACAAGCTCTATATTCATGTAACTCTTGTGTTTATGTACATAGTGTACATTGAAACTAACAGTGATGGAAAATACTGTATTTTATAGCAATGAGTTATTATGATGTCCAAAAGAAATAATCATTGATTCTATTTGCAACATGGATTTTTAAAAGAAACCTGACGTCTAAGTGTGGATTTTTCTTTTCTCTAGGATAATCATGTTAATATGACCCTTGTTTTAAGGACTCTTTTTGCTTTTGGTGGGGGCAGTATATACAGAACCATTGTGCAGTGGGGTCTATCATTTGATTTCCCTTTTCAGCACTGACTAGTTTGTAAGGAATATATACGTTTTTTTCCTGAATCACTGAGGTGCTTTAAGATGTTTATCTTAGAATTTTTCCTCCAAGCCAGTAAGCAGCCATTTAATCCTAAGTCTTTTCAAAATTAAGTTGTTTAAAGAAAAGAGAGAGCAAGAAAAGTGTGTATTAATTAGCTTTTCCACAGGTTCCATATCCAGTGATTCAACCAACCACTGATTAAAAATACTTGAAAAAATGTTACATTGTTGCTGATGTATATTCTGTAGTTAGGCCTACAATGATAGGTTGTGTCTTTACTGAATATGTACAGACTTTTCCTGTCATTATTCCCTAAAATATAGTGTATCAACTATTTACGTAGCATTTATATTGTATGAGGTACTATAATCTAGAAATGACCTAAAGGAGATATGAGTAGTTTACATGAAAATACTCCACCATTTTGTAAAGAGACTTGAGCGTCCCTGGGGTTGAGGGGAGGGGTCCTGGAACCAAACCCCTCAGACACCAAGGGACAACTGTACTGCTATTTCAATAATATAACGACAATTGTTTGCCAGGCCATCCTTCCTTTTTTAAAAATTGGGTAGAATACCCAATATAAAAGAGTCAATATTTGACAATGTGGAATTACCAAATTAAAGGAGAATACTATAAGTGTATTCATATTTTTTCTATATTGAATAAACAGTGTAACAGATAAAATGTAAATAAAAGTGGTATGACCAGTGCTTGTTTTCCCTTTTGTTATACAAGTTTATCTAAGTATTGGGAATTACAGACCAGTTTCGAGTTGATATAAAACAGGCCACGCATGGTTCTAAAGCACTCCTACTTAACCCTCACATAGTTCTACGAGATGAAAGGAGTTCACCCAATGTTACATGATAGACTAGGGAGTCAATTCGGTTTAATTCTAGAATCCTTAATCATGTCTCTCTGTCATGTAAGTATTTTCTAACTTGATTACTAACTGTTCCATCCAAGCAGCAGAACTGCTTTCTCCCAGCCTGATATGTTAATTACCACTAGAGGCCTGGAGCATGAAAATTCATGCACTGGAGGCGGAGTCCGTCAGCCTGGTCTGCCCCTCAGTCTGGGAGCCCTCAGGGGCAGGAGGCGACTTGGCAATCATGGGAAGGTGATGCCCCATCGCACCTCTGCTGCTGCCACTGTGGCAGCTCAAGCCTTGGGCGGCCCTGGGAGGCTGGGGGGGACTGGAGGCAGGCACATGGAGTGGCCCAGCCTGCCTGCCACCCTAGGGGGGCTGAGGGGACTGGGCACCACCATCTTTGTGACGGTGTGAAGGTCAGCATATTCCCTCTTTCTGAGATAGGATATGTAGTAATATTGCCATTAATTGCCTCTTTAAACCCAAAGGACAGTCTAGAGAAACTCCCACATATTCCTTGTGTGACTTGAGCAGATAGTACATTTGTAACTTGAAGAGATTTAGAAAGAATCTAATCTTGCATACAATAGAATCACCCAGCAGTAGCAGTGTCAATATAGCAACCATTCTGCACTTGTAACTTTGTGGGGAAGACAGCTAACTGCTACTGGGAAGAGAGCTAAAAGTAGCTGCCAGCTAAAAAGTAGCAGTAGCACATACTGATGAAAAAGTCAAGTTTTGAAACTTTATGGTAGGTAGACGACTCCTTACAAAGGTAGAAAATGTCTGCTAATTAGACTAAAGAATTCCAGGTTGTCCAATCAATCTCTGCAGTAGATACCCTAATCCTGCCTTAGATCATTATAAACAGAACAAGTGAGGAATTATGATCTTTTCCAAGGATAGAAAGACAATCCCTTGTTAGTAGCTTGTATCATCATAGCCCAAATTTGGCAATGCAGGCAGCTTGGTTTTAGGATTAGCTTAACATGTGAATAATAGCATAGCTTTCTGAGGCACCACAATCTTGTAATGGGACATTACTGAATTTGGTAGCTCAGATCTAAGCTGCAAAGTAGAAATCAATGTAGGCAGACTCCATTGCTGAATAAAAGAAAAATTTCATTGGTAGTGATTTTAAAATATTTAATACTCTTCTCTTTAAAATCCAAAATAATGTAATTTTTACAAGTTAAGTGCCACATAAAGCAAATGTTATTTTTTGAGAAATGCAGGTGATACTGAAAACAGTACTGAGGTATTTTTTTATTTTTAAGATTGACTAAGGAAACAAAGTCTGGACCTAATTTTTTTACATTTACCAAAAAAAATAAAAAAATAAACACAACAACGCTACTGCTTGGCTCTTTTGCTGTAATTTTCGGTTCTGAATACACGAATATGAGAAAGAGCATTATAATAGTACATGTAGTTTTAAAAACTGCACACATCATAACCTGGAAAAATGATCATAGTGACAGGCCTGAGTGAATGAAGACTAGTAACACATTTTTACCTCTGAAAGGATAGCTTTGAAAAAAGAGTGTAAACAATTTTAACACCAAATTAAAATGGCAATATTAAATGGGTGACAGAATGATCCACATTTTACATAATATTTCCACAGATAGGTTCAGCACCGTTGAAACAATTCATTATCCCTTCTATGAAATTTAGGATTTGAGCTAAAGACAATACCTGGAAAATGTCAGTCTTGTTTTTTAAAAATCAATTTGGATTTCAGTTCAATGTTTGCTGTAGGAAAAAGAGGTATTCTATGTCAATATCAGCCATTTATAGCTCTACCCTTTCAGAAGTAAGAATGTTAGGCTACAACCTAAAATTGTATTTAAAACCAAGAACCAAGCAGTAAGGACAGCAATGTAGAACATAGAACATTAGAAAGAATTCGGTGTATGTTTTTACAGCTACCAACTGGTGTTAACAATTAAAAATTTACAAAGATAAAACTTTTTTGCACTAACTGGTTTCAATACAGCACTGAATTTAACTCATCTTTGGGCTTCAATCTTTACACAGAGTAAATATGCAAGTGCCATACAGAGATCCTTTCCCAACTTACACCACAGATAGTTTTCAAAATTATTTTAGAAAGGTCTAAGTTGCAGCTGTTCATAGCTATTGAAAAAGTAAAGACATTTCCCGGCCAATTTCTTTCTTTCTTTTTTTTTGCTTGATGATGATTGTCTAGCTATATAATACATCAACTTAAAGATAATATAGCTTTTCCTACATATTTTAACACCAGTTCTGGCACAACCATTGCCAGCAGTGAATTTGTACCAGTATAGGCCAACTCAAAAACATCTATTATGAAACATCTGAATGTTGTTTTTAAAGCGATGTCACAGTTTGTTTCCTCAGAAATTTAAAAGCATACATTTGAAAACATCACATCTTCAATTGAACTCTTGGAGTTAAGGAACATATTTTACATAATTAAATCCAGCTTTAATGACCATTCTCTAAGGGATCCCAAAAGTTAAGACAATATCTCCCATGCCTGACCTGTGGGAACCTAGAGAATTCTGTTCCAATACATTCCAGCCAGAAGTATCCTCAAATGTCTAGGCCTCAAATGTTCAAACACCGCTTTACTGAGCAGTGCTATGTGTGGAGGTTTTGTTATTGTTTTCAAAGGACCAAGCAACATTACAGTATAGACAGCAAACATTTTTTCATAGAAGAGTTTGCAGTGCGGATACCTTTTCCCACCTGTATTAGACTTTAAATGGACTTTCATATAGATATGATAGGGGCCATTTGAAGATGCTGACCGCTTCACTAACATTTCCCCAGTGGGCAAAACAGGCAATGTGTGCCATTGGTTCTGTCATACTGGCCTTTGGCTGTAATCATATAAAAAGTGTCCCCCAAATGGAAAAGGCAGGACGTAAAACTAGAAAAAGGGAGCTCTATGAAGCCAATTTGAAAGGAGTTACCTTTACTTTTAAGTTGAGCACAGGAGGGCAGTGCAGAGGCACCTGGGTGTGGGCCCTCCCACTGCCGTCCTGCAGGAGAACAGATTTGGATGCCCATGTAGAGTCCTCTGAGGGCTAGAGACTGTGCCCACATTAGAAGAGCCAGTTCTCTAGTATAAAGAGTACAAGGCAAAACAAAACAAACCACAAATTAAATACATGACACTGAAATCACTGATAGAAAACAGAACACACAGATATTTAAAAATATAAATAAATACGTTTAGCCATTTTTATTCAAGAAACCCAGAGAACTGCTTACAAAGCAATTTCTTCTTTAAAACCACTCTCTAAATTCTTCCGTAAATACTCACTATTTTGATTGTCAATTAACACAGCACCTCAGTGTTTGCTGGTGGTGGTGATGGAATTTCACTTAATCTCTTCATAAACTATATTTCTTAAAGGTCGTTTCCTTAGGAAAACCCAGGCAGCTTACAAAATATGTTAAATACTCAAAACAACCTGCAAAGTATTTTATTTAAGAAAAACAAGGAATGTAGTGTTAAATTATGACATGTGGGGGAAATATGCAAAACAATCACATGGGAATAAAGTGTTTTAATCTTTAAATATCCACTTTTGTTTAATTTCTTGTGAGCTGTTCAATACTGTTAAATATCCTGAATTATAACTAAACCAACAAAATTCATCCCCAGTGTTTCCACAGAAGTCATTAAAATAAGACCAAATTACACATTTTTCTTTTCTTCAACCAAAGTAGTCCTTTTTGTGCAAAAGTATTACAAGAGCAATTCAAATGGGAACGCTGAAATGACATGCCAACATTTCAGAGCATATTGAAAACACTCAGAATAATTCTTGAAACGACTGTAGTCTAAAATATTACTAACAATCACTTTTAGGTTAGTTCTATACATTTATTCACACTGATGCAATTTCCCTAGACTTCTGAAAATAAACAGGCTCTTTTGGTGTCCACACAATAGGCAAGATAGATTTACAATAGTGTCTAAATGGAACTAGCATCAACAATCTCAACTCCACCACATTCAAAACAAAAGTCAAGTACATTTGGCTACCTTGAAATCACTCCCATAAACCTACTACGGTTCACTGGATCTAAACATTTCTCAGAAATGGGTCATTTTAAAATTTCACCTAAGTGATGATTTTGGGGATCCTTTAGAAACGGTAATGCCTAAGATAAACTTTATCAAAATGAATAATTGCAATAAAGTGCTTGTTATATTTAAAAATGATGCTTTTAGACTGTGGTATGTTGT